CTTTGTGTTTTCTGTCATCCCACCCATTTTGGTACTCTAGTCAGTCGTAAGTTTTTCCACTTGATAATATACCACATAATTCTTAGGGTTTCTTCATTTTTTTAAATTCTTTTGTCTGATTTTTCTTCAAGTTGGTGTCAGGGGATTTATTTTCAGTCTAATTCTGACCTCCATTGCCTCAGTTCTGCTCCTGTGACCTTGTATTGAGTTGCTTAATTTTGAAATTTCATTTTTTAATTTTTTTTTTTTAATTTCAGGTAAAGTTTTACAGAGTAGTTTCTCATGAAACAGTAGTATGCATATTGTTCTATGACATTGGTTAACAATGCCACATGTCAACCCTCTCCCTTCTTGATCTTTTTGTTTTTTGGTGAAAATATACATAGCCAAAAATACACCATTTCAAAAATTTCTACATGCATATTTCAGTGACATTGACTATGTTTTTCCAGTTGTGCTGCTATTCTCATTTTAGATGAAAGTTTACAGAACATAATAGTTTTTCATTAAACAGTGCACATGTTGCTCCATGACAATGGTTAACCTCACAACACATCAACACTATGCTTACTCAACCTTGGGTTCCCTATCACCAGCTTTCCTGTCCCCTTCTGCCTTCTAGTCCATGTCCCTGGACTGCTGTGCCTCATTAGTCCCATTTGGTTTTATGGGGCTGTCCACTCCCCAGCTGAACGGTGAACCTTGGAAGTGACTTCACCGCTGAGCTAAAAGGGTGTCTGGGGGCCATACTCTCGGGGTTTCTCCAGTCTCCTTTAGGCCAGTAAATCTGGTCTTTTTTTTTTTGTTAGAATTTTGTTCTATATCTTTCTTCAGCTCTGTCCAGAATCCTCTGTTGTGATCCTGGTCAGAGCAGTCAGTAGTAGTAGCTGGTCACCATCTAGCTGTTCTGGACTTAGTCTGGTGGAGACCTTGGTAGCTGTGGTCCATTAGTCCTTCGGACTGATCTTACCCTTGTATCCTGTTCTCTTCACACTTCCTTGCCTCCCGAAGGGATGAGACCAGTGGAGTATCTTACATGGCTGGCTGCTCACAGGCTTTTAAGACCTCAGACGCTACTGACCAAGAATGTAGATCATTGTCTTTATAAACTGTGTTATGCCAACTGAGCTAGGTGTTCTCCAAGACCATGGTCCCCACAGTTCGTGTCTCTCTTGTTTCTAGCATCCTGTTAAATTTGTTGTGTTCTTTTATTGTTTTCCTGAACTTTTCTGATGTTTTTTCTGTGTGTTCCTTGGTTTGGTCTCAGTTTTGCCCAAACTCTTTCCTGATTTCTTGAAGAGCTCCGTATATTAATTTTTTTAATTCTCTCTCTGATGACTCCAAGACCTTGTTTTCTCTGCAGCATTTCCTGGTTTTTTGTTTTGGTCACTTGCTGGAGCCATCTTGACCTTGTTCTTTATGTGATTTGATATTGACTGTTGGTTCTGAACCATCGATAAGTTATTATATCTATTCTGTGTTTGTTTACTGAGTCCTATCTTTTTGCTTTATTTTGATATGTCTGCGTAAGCTGAGCGTGTGAGCTACTTTAGTTATTGGCATCTTTGAAGCTCTTATTTTCTGTTTTCAGGTTTTTAGAGCAGCTATGAGGTATATGAACCCAGGGGTCTGTTCATTTTTCTTGTGCAGATGTTCTACAGGTGTCCAGGTTGTTGGTCACAGAGTATGTGATGTAGATTCTCACTTACAGTCTTAGACGGGTAGGGCTGTGTAGTGGGGTTTGGAGCAGGCCCAGGTATCTGGCTGCATAGGGGGCTGAAGTCTGCCTCCACGTGCCTGGGTGGAGGGCATGTCCCTGTCCCCTAGAGCGTGTGTGGTGTGGATCTTGCAGCCCATCCTTGGGCACCTGATGCTGTTGGCTGGAGGGACTGGGAAGTACCACTTATTCTCAGGCCCCTTATGTGGGTGTGCGATGTCTCTTCTTAATGGGCAGAACAGTGTTAAATGTCATGAATGTGCAACTCCTCATTGGCTGCTGCCGTTGAAAATAGGTTTCAGGTGTGTGCCGTGCTTTATGCTAATGAGGGTGTGTGGTGTTGAATGGGCCCCAATAAGTCTAGACAGGAGGGAATGGCACTACAGGTCTGTGGACCCCTTGTGCCAGTGCCTAGTCAAAGGGGCAGTGGCTGCCCTGAGTTCTCAGCTTACGGTACGAGACTGGTTTGGAAGCGGATACTCCTGCGTTCCAGCATAGGTGGGCATGGCAGTTGTTGAATATGGCCAGACTCATGTTGGAGCAGAGTGGGGTGAGGGGGTGGGTAAGCAGAAAGAGGCACTTCTCTGCTGTGATCGTCCCCCTTGCACTTAACTTCCCTGGGTCCAGCACCACTTCCACCAGGGTCTGCAGGCTTGTGCAGCCTCTTCCGCCCAGCCTCTCTGGACATGGTGAGACATGTCCCAAATGCTACTGCGTGCGTCAGCCCGTGTGTGCCAGCTATCCCAGCGAGCAGGGTGTGGGCAACCTCATGAATGGCACTTCTTCACTGCTTTTGAATTGTCTTTTCTTCTGTTTGCCACTCAGTCTGACTGTTTAGCTTTGTCTTTGATGATCAGGTCTCTTGATTGTCATATACGATGGATTCATTTGTGTTTTTCAGTTTTTGGTGTAAGAGGGACAACAGGAAGCGTCTGACTATTCTGTCATCTTGGCCCTGTCCTCTAAACACTGAACTAATTTAAATTTTTTTTATAATTTAGAAGCATCTGGGTTGGGAAGCAGGCAGATATGCTGTGGCAATGCCATAAAGAAGTCAATGAGTTGAATATAAATTGGGAATGATAAAATTTCAAAGTCAGCATATATAACCAAAAATCGGAGATACACCCAAAACCAAACTTGTTGCCATCAAGTCGATTCTGACTCATAGTGACCCTATGGAACAGAGTAGAACTGTCCCAATAGGGTTTCCAAGGTTGGCGGATTTGGATTGCTGACCTTTTGGTTAGAAGCGGAGCTCTTAACCATTGCGCCACCAGGGCTCCGAGATATACACGAGAAAACTTAAAATAATTTGCAACAGTTACCTCTGCTGGGGGGGCTCGTCTTATGTAGAAATAGGATAGGCATGACGGTTCTCCTGCTCATCATAAGCTCGGTTGTAGATTTCAGCATTTTAAACTAAGAATATTTTGAGCCAATATCCAACGGAGAGAAATTTTGAGAAACTGAGAGGCTTATCATCAAGCTCAGGGTAGCTCAATTATTACAATCTAGGCACAATATCTGAGATGGCTGGGCAATGTGTATGTTTTCTTTTTTCAGCAGAGATCCGTTTATCAACTGAATGAAGTAGTGGGAGTATTCTCACTTTCTGTACAGGTTTTATGCCCTATGGTGGAGAATCTAAACTGTTCAGAACCAGTGCTTCTCATACATCTTGTGAATCTGCTGAGATCTTGTTAAAATGCAGATCCTGATTCAGTAGGTTGAGATGGGGCCTTTGATTTTGATTTTCTACAAAGCTGGGAAATGCCGATAGTGGTCCATGTACCAGACACCGTCGGTGTAATTGTTGCTGTTGAGTTGGTTCCATTTCATGGCGAACATATATATAACAGAGGGAACCGTTGCCAGGTCCGGTACCATTTTCTTGATCATTGGTATGTTTGAGTGTGTTATTGTGCCTATTCTTTCAGTTAATCTCATTGAGCATTTCTCTCATTTTTGCTGACTTTCTACTTTACCAAACATGATCTTCTTCTGTAACAAGCCCGTATTTTGGGCCTTAGTTTCTTAGAAAACTGGATTTCAAATGTTGATGTCTTTTGGAATCACTTGGAGACCTTTTAAAACTCTAAATTTCTAGGCCACGCCTAAGAACAATTAAATCAGAATCTCTTGATGGGAAACAACCATCAGAGTTTTTTTAAACTCCCAGATAATTTCAGTGTGCAAAGACATTTGAGATCCACTGCCCTAGATAGGAGCCCTGGTGGCACAGTGGTTAAGAGCTCTGCTACTGACCAAAAAGGTCAGTATTCAAGTCCACCAGCTGCTCTTTGGAAACCCTGGGGGGCAGTTCTCCTCTGTCCTGTAGGGTCACTATGGGTCGGAATCTACTAGACAGCAACTGGTTCGGTTTGGTGTTTTTTTTGCCATGGGTTGGAAGCTCTGATGACACAGTGGTTAAGAGCTACGGCTGCTAACCAAAAAAGGTCGGTAGTTTGAATCCACCAACTGCTCCTTAGAAACCCTATGGGGCAGTTCTGCTCTCTCCTGTGGGGTTGCTATGAGTCAGAATTGACTCAGCAGCAACAGGTTAGGTTTTTTGGTTGATTCTAGAATGTGTATTATATATGAAAAACTTCCAAAAATATGTACAGATAATCACAAACAAAATTTTTGTGTATTTCAATTGAATAAAACTTGTGTATTCATAAATTTTAATAAAGGCCTATAATTCTTTTTTCTGTTAAATATTTATAGTGCTATTCAAAAAAAAACTAAAAATAGGGAATTATTAAGGAAAAACCTTGAATTCCACTCTAGTCTAAGTTTCAATTCTGAGTTAGAAGGTAGTACAGTTACGTAGTACATTTTGATGGGCACTTTATTTTCCCTGTTTAAAAAAAAAACATAAAATGAGATTTTTATTTTCCTTTAAAAAAAACCAAAACAACATTGCCATCAAGTTGGTTTTGACTCACAGTGACCCTATAGGACATAGTACAGTGCTATAGATTTCCAAGGCTGTAATCTTTACAGAAGCAGATCACCAGATCTTTTGCAGAGTTGCTGGTGGTTCAAACTGCTGGCCTTTCACTTAGCAGTCAGGTACTTAACCACTGCACCACCAGGGCTTCTTCCATTTTCCTTATGATAGTTAATATCATCAACATGTTCAAGACAATAGTATGTGGCCTGTGCCCTACCACTCTCCTCTACTATTCACCATCCCAGTAATGTGTCTTATTTTTGTCACATCATTTTTGTTTAATGCAACTTTCCATATTTATCTCCCTTTTATGTTTAATTCCAGATTTCCTCCAGGGAATTCCAGTTCTTTGTCCATGGAGACCCAGTGTGTCTGGTTACCCGATGTATTTTCAGGACTAGAACATTTCCTGGTACAAAGAATGCAGTAAAAAAATATTTATTGAGTAAATAAAGGAATAAAAGTATTTTCAAATGACCATTCACAATTGCTTTGTCTCTTTGTTTTCCAACATTGTAGGAGGTTTAAATTTTTAATTGTCTTGTAATTCCAATCCAGACAAACAGGGTGTGTCCAGAGAATGAGAAACCCTGACTAGGTTTAGTATCTGGAATTAGGGTTCCGTGGAATGTAGCACTGATGAAGTTTTTTATTTTTTTTTCTATATAAAGGAAAGACAAAATAGAGGTCTCATTTTCCAGAGAAGAAGAAACTGGACAGTGCAGAATTTTGGGAGATCAAAGTGCTACTTTGTTGAGGAACCTTCCTCAGAATCTGTTGGCTTCACTGTTTCCTGCAATTTTTGAGTTCTGGTGAGTTCTCCAAAGAAAGAGATGTGAGCTGGTCTCATTCTGTTCCCATTTTATAAGTTCTATTTTCAGACTTTTTTTTCTATGAAAGCAATTACTTAAAATCTTTAAATTTTATTAGCATCTGCTTTTTATTTCCCCATTTACTTCATTTCTTCATCATTGACCAACTTGCTTCAAAGACTAAGGTGGAAAAACGTTATTGCCTCCATAATGTCTTGAAAGGCATTTAAACGTGAGGAGGCCATTTGAACAATCACATTCGTTGCAAAGGTAAGGTGAAAACATGCTACCAGACTCTGGAGGAGCCCACAATCAGACCGTAAAAACTACATCTTTAGCAGTCATTGTAAGATTTACAGTAGTATCTGGGACTAGATTGTAGTTTGTTACAGGTAAGACTAAAGGGTCTCAGTATCATGTACGGACCTAGGTTTTTGGTGACATATCCAGCAGTCTGAAAAATTTCCATTAGTGGCTGTGACCTGTAAAACTTAAATAACTGCATTATTTTTACGAGCATGAAAGCATGGGGAAAGCAGTAAGGATTAAAAGAGGCAAAACAGTGGGGGAAATGTTCTTGATCTTTGGTCTTGGGACAGCTGTCTATCTCAAGATTTCATCTGCTTCTGGGGAGATGCTTCACAAGTTATCCTGAGTGTGAGCCTTTACCTGATGTGCAGCTCCAAAAGTCTGTTGGAGCCCGCTTGAGCTGGGAAATGTATACCCACAGTTCTAGTCCTTGAAGTTTGGCTGAGAACTACCTGGTAAGATCCTTTCCAGTGAGGGAGGTGTAGTGGTTAAGTGCTACTGGTGCTAACCAAAAGGTTGGCAGTTTGAATCCACCAAGTGCTCCTTGGAAACTCTACAAGGCAGTTCTACTCTGTCCTATAGGGCCGCTATGAGTTGGAATCGACTCGACGGCAACAGGTTTTGTGGCAAAGCGTTTAGGAGAGGTAATTTTAGTGGGCCAACTGGCCATCTGGGCCTTCCCACAAGCCACGGGCCATATTGAACTTGCACCTCTTATATTTTTTAATCTTGTTTGTCAAATAAGTTTTTCATTGTTATTTGAGATCAATTTTATGGAGGTTATTCAAATTGTATATCTTAATTTTATCACGAAAAGTCCCGTTAGTAACAGATCTAACATCAACTAAAGTATTTCCTTGATTCTGTGAGCGTCGTTCTCAAATAATGACATTCCAGTCAAGGTTTGGTTATGTAGCTGAAGTTTCCAGTTATGTCCCGTAAACAAGGGCAGATTCTTACTGAAGTTATGCATTTAATTACATTACCATAAAAAGAAGAATGCTCATTAAGAGTTTTCAAATTTTGAGAAGGGTAAAGCAGGGAGAGGAGCCCTGGTGGCGCAGTGGTTAAGAGCTTGGCTGCCAACCAAAAGATAAACAGTTCAAATCCACCAGCTGCTCTTTGGAAACTCTATGGGGAGGTTCTACTCTGTCCTATAGGGTCACTATGAGTCAGAACTGACTCGATGGCAACTGGTGTGGTTTTTTGGTTAAGGCAGGGAGAAAAGGAAAGTGTTTTATTTCTGTTTACAAAAGCCTAATCTATTGTTACGAGTTAGAGAAAGCTCAAGAAAAGTGCAGATTACAAATTTAATCTGAAGAAAATTAGGCATACGTTTTGATTTTACAACACTTCTCGTGTAACGCATATCAAATAAACCTAATTATTTCTAATACTTTTTTACAAAGTGGGAGAAAACAAATCTTTCGTGATTTTCCAGGGTTGGTTCTAAACGTGAATGTTTAAAAAAAAAACCAAAAAAACTCCATAGGTAAGTGTCATGGATTGAATTGTGTCCCCCAGAAATGTGTGTCAACTTGGTTAGGTCATGATTTCCAGTGTTATGTGGTTGTCCTCCATTTTGTCATTGTAATTTTATGTTAAAGAGAGCTAGAGTGGGATTATAACACCTTTATGAAGGTCATGTCCCTGATTTAATGTAAAGGGAGTTTTCCTGGGATGTGGCCTGCACCACCTTTTAGCTTACAAGAGGTAAAAGGAGAGAGAAGTAAGCAGAGAGTGAAGGACCTCATACCACCAAGAAGGCAGCACTGGGAGCAGAGCACGTCCTTTGGACCCAGGGTTCCTGCGCGGAGAAGCTCCTAGTCCAGGGGAAGATTGATAAGGGCCTTCCTTACTCCAGAGCTGACGACAAAGCCTTCACCTGGAGTTGACGCCCTGAATTTCGACTTCTAACCTGCTAGACTGTGAGAGAATAAACTTCTGTTAAAGCCATCCGCTTGTGATATTTTTGTTACAGCAGCACTAGATCACTAAGAATTTGGTATCAAGAGTAGGGTGCTGCTGTAACAGATGTCTAAAATGTGGAAGCAGTTTTGAAACTGAATGGATAGAGGACTGGCAGTGACAGAACCAACAGCAGCAGAACCAGGAGACCAGCACCAGACAGCACTGGAGCTGACCCATGGAGTGAGGGAGGTGAGTACCTTTGCGCAGGAGGCTTCCTGGTGGAGTGGGGTGCCTCCGAGCACTTATCAGTGGAGCTTGGCAGCTGAAGTGCATTCCAGTCGAAGTTTACTGGCCGAGTAGGGTACTTCCAGGCACTTATTGGTGGAGCTACAGAGCTTTGGAACACTTGCCCCAGCACGGCAGATGCGGGTGTGAGGCCCGAGGGGCCCAGAGGCCAAGGAACTAGGAAGCAGAAACTGAAGAGACAACACAGGAAGCAGAGCTGCCTTAGTCTCAGAAGATATGGCTACGATCTCTGAAGTTTCAAAGGGTGGAGTCATGGCCTCTGGGGTTTTTTAGAGTGGAGTTGCCACTCATACGGACTAAGAGAATGGTGTGCCTAAAGCCAAAGGAGCAGAGTTGCCGTCCCAGTGGGCCTGGAAGGCGGAGCTGAAGCCCAGAACAGAGGGGCCTCCGCTCAGAATCTGGGGATTGTGGCCAATACCTAGAGTCTGGAGGGCAGGGCTATTGTGTCAATGGTCTCAAGAGAACAGGATTATTTTCAAGCCGTGAGGGCTAATGTAATTGTTCTGCTAACTTACTTGATGCCTGTTAATGCCTTCTTTCCCTGCAATTTCTCCCATTTGTAATGGAAAGCTTGTGCCTGTTCTGCCATTGTACTTTGGAAGCAGATAACTTGTACTCTAGACTTTACAGATGAAGAGGAATTTTTGGATTTTGGACTTGGAGTTGATTTAAGACTTCTGCTGTGATACGATAGGGTCATTGTATCTTACATGTAGGAAGGACATGAATTTGGGGGGGCCAAAGGGTGGAATGTCATGGATTGAATTGTGTCCCCCAAAAATATGTATCAATGATTGCCAGTATTGTGTGGTTATCCTCCATTTTATGATTGCAGTTTTATGTTAAAGAGGATTACAGTGGGATTGTAACACCCTTACTAAAGTCACATCCCTGATTCAGTGTAAAGGGAGTTTCCCTGGGGTGTAGCCTGCACCACCTTTTATCTTACAAGAGATGAAAGGGAAGTAAGCAGAGAGTGGGGGACCTCACACCAAGAAAAATCACTGGGAGCAGAGCACATCCTTTGGACCTGCAGTTCCTGCGCAAAGAAGCTCCTACTCCAGGAGAAGATTGATGACAAGGACCTTTCTTAAGAGCTGAGAGCCTTCACCTGGAGCTGACGCCCTGAATTTGGACTTCTAGCTTACTAGACTGAGAGAGAATAAACTTCTGTTTGTTAAAACCATCTGCTTGTGATATTTCTGTTAGAGCAACACTAGATGACTAAGAAATTAAGTGATATGAATTCCCAGTTGAAAACCACTGGCCTATATGATGCTAGATTCAAATTAAAATTATGACAGACTTGACATTTTAAAGAATAATTGAAATTCTGACTGATTCTACTGTATTTTGTCTGATAATCAGGCAAAGTAGCACCCAGATATCATGGACAGTGAGGGTACTAACAGATCTACAGGAACTTTATACAATTTTTGAAATCTGTTAACATCCCAGACTTTCACCTTAGTACTATCAACTGTTGGGTGCCCTGGTGGCACGGTGGTTTAGAGCTTCAGCCGCTAACCAAAAGGTCAGCAGTTCAAATCCACCAGCTGCTCCTTGGAAACCCTATGGGGCAGTTCTACTCTGCCATATAGGATTGCTGTCAGTCAGAATCGACTCGGTGGCAGTGAGTTTCTTGTGTGCTCATATATTCCCAGGATAACGTTTCCAACTCATAGTGACCATAAAGGACAGTGTAAGTTCCCCGACAGAGCTTCCTAGGCTGTAATCTATGGGAGCAGATTGCCAGGTCTTTTTTCCCGTTGTTAGTGGGTTGGAACCTCCGACCTTTTGGTTAGCAGCCTAGCTCTTAACCAGGGCTCCTAGTCTAACCTTATCCTCTGTGTAGATTTCTCCAACCATCTTAGAGTCACAAAAGACTTTTTCACCTTGACCATTTTACCCATTCATATGTATATGGACTTGGAACCCTGACTGGGTGTTGAACAGGGAACCTTGGCCTCTGTATTAATCCTTATCTTGGTTTATGTTTTATCTGCCACACCATATCCATGGGCAATTCCAGGTGGGGCTTCTCACTGTAACCTTTGTCTTCTGGCTTTTTAAAAAATTCCTCCACAATAGAGGGAGATTGTTTATGGTTCTTTAATGTTGAAGGAAGGAACCCTGATGGTGCAGTGGTTAAGCCCTTGGCTGCTAACTGAAAGATCAGTCGATTGAACCCATCAGCCACCATAAAGGAGAAAGATGTGGCAGTCGGCTTCCGTAATGATTTCAGCTTTGGAAACCCTGTGGGTCAGTTCTACTCTGTCTTACAGGGTCACTATAAATCTACTTGACGGCAATGGGTTTTTTAATGGAGGATTAGCAGGATTCCTATTGACCCAACCAAGCTCAGGTAGTACTGCATTAAGACCTTTGTTTCAGTGCCATCAATGTCCCCTTATCCCAGTTCTCAGTAACCCTGTAAAGACTTCCATCCTGCTGGGAGCCCTGGTGGTGCAGCA